ATGGTCGAAATTACGTCATATCACATGATTTTTTATATATAGAAAAAACAAAAAAAAACAAAAGATATACGATCTCGATCAATATCGCTTCGATTCATATGAAAAAACTACCATTTGATTCCTCGCGACTAGTCGAATCCAATGAGCTAACATTCATTGATTTTGATCATCCTATCTCGAGATATTTGCGGTCGTATTTCGAAATCCAGACTTTTTTATTTAAAGTAGAATTTATTGATTTATAATTTCAGCCGATAATACAATTGCGAGTATCTCGTAATTGAATGATCCAAAATTAATGAATATTAGCTCATTGGATCCGCCTAGTTTCGAGGAATCGAATGGTAGTTGTTTCATACGATTCGATGCGATATTGACTGAGATCGTACATCTTTTGTTTTTTGTTTTTTCTAAACATAAAAATCATGTGATATGACATCATTTCGACTATTTCGCGACTTTAGCCTCTAATGGTCGAAATAATTTCAACTATTTCGACCATTTCGGATATCTGAAATGATCTATTTCGACTTCATGTATAACTGGTACTACTATTACAAATGTTTATATTATAGTAAAAATAATAGTTGCTATTATGATAAAACTAAAAATCTGAAATATTTAAAGACAAAAAAAATAAAAATAAAAAAATACATATTTTTGCGAATTTTCATTAGATAATATTGCTAATAATATTAATGTATAATATTATCTGTCTAAAAAAATAATAATTTAATTATAATATTAACTTCTTTTCTATTTATATTTATTCTAAATGCAATAGTCAATTTTGTAGAATTTCAAAAAATCTGTATCTATTTCTTCAAAAGTATCATCAATTTTACTTTCAACAATATTATTATCTTCTTTAGAAATATCTATTTTATTATTTCTTTTAAAACTTTATTAGTTTTATTATCAACTTCAAAAGTAATAAACACTAACTATATTATCATTAATTTTACCAGCTTCATCATCTATATACAATTTACTAGATATTACATATATATTTAAAAATAAAGAATCTAATAAATTTTAATAAAATTTAAGCTTTTTATTAAGAAGTTATTAATTTATTACTTTTATAAAGATGATTAAATATGAATTTAAATCTTATTTAGATTTTATTTATGATATCAAAAAATCAAATGTTGAATCTTATAAAATTAAATAAAAAGAATTATACTTTAACATATCAGACTTTAATATAAAAGAATTAGATATATAATTATCTAATGATAATAATTAAAAAAAATTTTATACAATATTAAACAAATGGTTAAAAATAATAAAGAATTATTAGTAAATATATTAATATGTAATAAAAAAATAAAGATAAATAAAAAAAAAGAGTATAAGAAGGTATACAATTTATAAATTTAATATTAATGATTATTATTAATAAAATTTTATTTTAATGATGATGAATTTGATTTAGAAGAAAGAGAATGAACTTAATAAATCAGAAAAAAAACTGAAATAAAAAAAATAAGAGTAAAATATTATTATAATTAGTATTAAATACTATTTTTAATAATTAAAATATGTTATAATCAGTTAAATACTATATAATTAATAATGTAAAGTAATAATATTGTAAGTAAATTAATTAAATGTTATAATAAATTAAATTTTTAATTAGTTTTATTATATATAGATTATTAGTATCTATCTACATCATTATTATTTTCTGTTATAACTAAAAAAATAATACATATGATATTGTAATTGTTGATATAATATTAAAAATCAATTAATTTGACTTGATATTAATATTAATTTTAGTAATTGATAATAACTTTAGAAATATTAATAGTAAGAATAGCAATTTTAAAAGATAAAATAAAAGTAACATTTGTATAGATTTTACAAGAATTAAAATTTTCATGATGTTATACTAATAACCTTATATTTTAATGTTAATTTAGCCTTGATATTAGTAGTAAAAAATATTTTCAAAAAAATATAACATTTTCTTTGTATTATTCATATAGATTTTAACCAATTTGAATTTTTTTTATGTTAAATTCTTAGCAATATATAATTCTTTATATTATAAAAAGTTTGAGATAAAATAGAAAACACTTATTAATAAATTTCAAGCTTGTAAATAATATCTTATAAAAACTTTATATTTTTATAAGAATAATTAGATAAGTTATGCTATTAACTAAAATTTATTGTAAGTATTTAAAGCATACAATAGGTAGAAATAACTAATAAAATAATTAAAGATAAATTAAATAGATTTTTATATTTAACTGATATTATTAAAGAAGTTCAAAAGACATTTAATTAACAATAAAAAAGTAATATTAAGTAAATATAAAAAGGAAATTTTAATAAGAAAAATACTATTTATAATAAATGAAATCTTTTTAGAACTTAATCAAATTTTGTAAGAATATTTAAAACCATAAATTTTTTAAAATAACGTAATCAAATAGCCAAATTATTATGCTATAATACAATATTAATTAAGAATTAGTTATCATTTCTAAAAGTAAGTCTTTACAATAGTTGATAAAATGTAAAAAATTAATATTAATTAATAACAAAATCAGTTACTAACAATTAAAAAAAAAAAATTTTTCTTTATTTTTAGATTGAACAATTCTTATTAATAAAAAATTGCCAGAGAAGTTAATTATGAACAATCTTAATCTCTATTTTTTTTATTAATTAAAAATATATTCTATAATAATATTTAGTAAATATTGAATATTATATAAGTAAAATCAGAATTATAATATAATTTTCTTTTTAATGATAGTTCATATTTATATAACCAGTTTTTAGTTTATCAATAAAGTGATCTTATATATATATTTTTTAATTTATGTCTTATTCTTTAATGTATAATTTTATATATCATTTATAATAATAATAAATATAATATAAGAAAAATATAATATCAATATATTATATTGGAGAAAATAAACTGAATGAATTAGAACAACTCTTGTTTTAATTATTATTTCAATATCTTGCAAATTTTAAGTAAATACTTATATTATATATAAAATGAATTCTTAACCTATTTTCAAAAATAGTTGAAGATGTGATCTATATAAAAACACAGAGTTGCAAATTATAGATTGTGATTAGTAAGACCTAGTTGTAATGCCATTTTTAATTATATAATTATAAAATTCTAACAAAAATATGGACTTGATAGGATATGCTAAAATGTTTTTAATTTACTATTTAAACTGATAAAATTGTTAATCAAGTAAGATATTTTATTGAAAATATAAAAGCAAAATTATTTGAATAATAAGAAATATAATTTTTAAATACAAATTATATAACAAATCTAAAAAAATAAAACAAGGTATATTCAAGATATAATTAATATTACCAATAAAGATTATAAAGTTTTAGAAAGTCAAGCTGGTAAAAAAAAAAGGAAGAGATTATAAAAAAAATCAATTAAACTGATTATTATATTTTATAATATTCAAATGTTTAATAAAATATTAAAAACAAATATTAATAGTAAAAGAGGTATATATGTCATTTTATCAGATATCAAACAAATAAATCATTTTTTTTTTATAGTAAAAGAGATGTTAGGCTATTTATTTAAATAATTAAATATCAAGTAATGAGTAATAAAAATCATGTGATAAGATTTGCAATTTATTAAAAATATTAATTAAATATTACTGATTTTTTTATTTTATTTAATAATATTTTTATATTATTAAAAATATATTTAATTATATATTAATTAATTAATTTAACTAATATAATTTTTGTTTATTTTAGCAAGTATTATTATAATAAAATTTTTTATTTTATTAAAATATGTTAAATTTATTTATTATATCAAATATTTTTATTTATTATATTTTATATATTATTATTTATATTTTTTTATAAAATACTTATAAAATAACTTACATGCCTTCCTAAACTATTTTTAGGAAATTTGATATTTGAGATTAAACTATTTGTTTATAAAAAATATCTTTACTTAATGGGTTTTCCTAAACTCAATTAAGTTTAATCAAGTTTCAGATTTAAAAAAAAAAGTCATTTTAAGGTTTCGAAATAGTTTCGAACAGCATCATCGCTACATAATATGCTAAATATTAATTAAAAATATTTAGTAATACTTAAAAAATCCACGCAACTTTTCGGAAAGTTTTCTAATTGGTTTACGCAAAATAAGCAAATATATAAAATACTTTATATTATTTAGAATTTACATAATACTAAAATAAGAAGTACGTAAGATATAATGCTATTTGTCCAATCATAGTCAATCTTAACCAACATACCCAACAAATTTCGGTTGTCACGTGATAATGTGAACTAAAATCAACTACGATAACTATTTAACTTAACCAATCAAATCGGCTCCATAACGAATCTCAACGTGACAATCGATAAGATCGTGTTTTTTAATGCTTAACCCCATTTTTTTATTCGATTTTCTTACTTGTAAGGCGTTTTCTTCAATCTGTCACAAATAGTATAATTCTTAAACCTACTTTCAAATAACCTGAGAAAAGTTATCTTCTGTTAATACTATCACCATATATGAACGCGTAAAAGGGTTCTTCTAGTGAAATATAAAATGAACGCAACTAATGGAAGAGGGTATACTTTCCCTTTCTTCATAAACTCGATATCACCTTCACAAGCTTTTTCAACGTGGCACCCCGTAGATTCTACTACTTCTTATTATTCTCCGGCAATGGATATGCATCCAAAGGATATGCCGGAAACGGCTTTTGTGATCGCTTTTTGCGTAAAGTTTCGAAGCGCAATCAATAATATCTCATTCTGGCCAGAGGTATTGTTAAGCATATAAATTATTAAATATATGTAAAAACTTTTCGAGTTCTTCCAATATTTAAGTCTATAAATTTTAAATATGAATTTTAGATTATTTATTATTATTTTTTTTTTTGTTTCGTATTTAAAATAGGACTTAGACGAAGCAATTTGTTGCAAGGAAGGTCCTAATACCCTCATAGAATCATTACTCAAAGCGTTTGTTCAGAATCTTGATCCAAGGAGAGCAAAAATCCCGTACGTCTCAATTTTATTATTAAATTGCCTTTTTTTGCTATTTTTTTTTTTAAAAATTTGTAGATTATTCTGATAAAATTTACATTTTTCAGATGGGTCAAAAGGCTTGCTAAAATTATAAATGATTGGCAAGCCCGAGGCTATGATACATTCTTCGATTATAATCCAATAGAGCGATCAAATTATGACTATTACAAAATGAGTAATCGAGAAAAAGTAATAATAGTTAATAACCCCTTTAATATTCTTCACTATCAATTGATAATAAATCATTTTTTTATAGGTATTATTAATGCAAGTCCTTGTGAGCTGGCAGCTTGCAGATTCAGCTGTAATAAAGAGAATCAGGAAGGAACACAAAGAGATAGTAAATGATGACGATTTTAGGCCTTTGGAAGTTGAAGTCATAGGCGAAGACACAAGTGGGTCTCGATATTATTATATGGGAAGTAGGTATCATTTTATATATCATTCAACAGTTTTTGACTTACCGTAATTAAAGCATTGATTAATTTGTGATTCTTACATCTTTTATAATAGCCGGAACCAGAATTTACCGGGAATCAATGATATCAGGGCGCGTAAAATGGGAGACTTTGTCTAACACAGTTGATGAATTAAAAAAATTCATTTTCGATTACCAGGGTCTTGATCCGAACAGATCGGAACGAGAACGAATTTTATATCATAGACTTATTAATGACGTACTACCGCTGCTTGAGCCCTTGGAAATTGTAAGTACCTTTTAACAAAGCTAACTTGATATGTATTAACGAATATTTACTAAATGTCTTTTTATTAATATAGGAACGACAAAAATTCAAAGAAATAGTCATAAATAATAGTAAAGCGGATCGTGATCGAGAATTCCGCTTAAAGAAAATAGAAAAAGATCATAATGACTCCGAAATACTTCTCGTGAGAACCCGTTCTCAGGCCAAACAATCCACACATAACGAAGTGAAAAACACGACGGGTTACCTTGAGATAATTAATAAGCCATTTGACCCTTTCATCAACTCTAACATTTTTATTTGTCCGAAATTCCGATTCTTGGAAAATGTCGTGGATGATGTCATGGATTATACTTCAAGCTGTAACGTACAAGCGGAGAGAAATATTTTCGAGAAAAACAGCATAGATTCTAGAATAAACGGAACAAAGGATGAAGGAGACGTTATCGTCGTAAAAACCATCAATGGAGACACGGGCACCTCTGCGAGTAAAACTATATCGATCCGAAGTGATAAATGTCCAATCAAAAATGAACGAAAGAAAATTGCAGTATCCCGCTGCAGGGAAGGGTCAAATTCGAAGATGAATATTTCATCTATTTTAACTGACGTCACTAAAGAAGCAGAAAGCGTTGAAAAGCGCTCAGAATTGTCAAAAATGGCAATATCAAATATTTTATCAAATGAAACCCCTGATATTTTCCAAAATAATGATGTATATCCTGATGAAAGCGATGGAAATAACCAACACGGACCAATGCCTTTTCAGTATGGGAACGGAAGTGTGGAATCTTATGAGTTTGATATTATTGCTCAAGAATCTAATAATAATGATGTATCTCAAGAAAATGAGATGTATGTACCAATTGCCAAAGAGCAGAATGATATGGTGGAAAGAATTAATACTCCAAATGATATCGAGGACACGATAAGGAATCTATGTGAAGATAAAGAGACTGCGGAAGTTAATGACGGTGTTCAAAACGAATCCAATAGAAAACGGGCCTTTGTTCCTAATGCAGAAACAATGATGAAATTGGAGTGGTCATTAAATCATCCGGTATTTAAATTGGACGAAGACATATTTGGTGAATCTACTGATACGGATTTGTCAGATTGCTGTTCGAACTGTGCAATGGAAGTAAATTGAGCGGCGATGGGATGTACTAAATTTTTTTTTAAAAAAAAAAAAGAGATGAAGCGGCAAATGGTGCCTATACCTTGGACAATTTTGCTTGAATTTTTTAATTTTTTTATATCAATAATAACTTAGTAATAGGGGTTATAAATAATTTCTAACAGTTGGAGGGTTATATAATAACAACCCCTAAAACTTTGGCATTTATTTTTTTTCTGTTTTGTACATAAATAAACATTTTAAAAGGATTTTTGATTATTCAAATATAGAATTAATTAATATATTACGGGTTAATCATGGGTAAAATTTCCTTTTTAAATGGGAGTTCATATTAAGAATCAATAGATTAATAGACAAATCATGATTAGACTTTTTTTTAATTTTTATGTATTTATTATTTATACGAAGTTATCACTCACCAATTATGAGAAAAATAAATTTTACTATATTTAGATAATTTGATGTTTTCACGTATCACGACGACTCGAACTTTTTTTTTTTGATTTTGATAATTTTATCAGGATCGAGTATACGAATTTTATTAAATATAGGGGAGAAGGGTAATTTTTTCTAAAGGAAGATTGGTTGCAATTGGTTTGTCATTTTTAGGTTGTGTGGAGATTTCGTTACAAACAACTTTCCGAAAGGTGCACTTTTGAATAGTTCATAATCTAATATAATTGATTTGAACGAATTTTTAATTTCAACGAAACATTCTCATTAGCTGATACAGGAAAAATCATTAAGCAACTAAATTCTTATAATATTATAATAAAATATTGACGAGATATAATCACTTAACATCTTTTCTCGATTAGCACAAAAAAGAAACTTTTGCTTTATTTGTAGGTAAAATTGTATTAAAATTTTGATCTTTTTACCATGTAACTTTCCTAAAAAAATATATATCCATGAAGATTGTTTTTGTCATCGGTTAATTTTAAAATCTACTGCGGAAAAAAATTAGAATCGTTAACTTTATTCTGAATATAGAATTTATGTCGACAAAAACAACTTTCACGTAATTTTACAAATTAAATTAATTTAAAATTATTGGCATTAAATTCTGTTGTTCTTTTTTTTGTCTATCACCGTATCCTCTAAAAAACTGTTTCACTTTCAGAGAGAAAATATCCTGGTTGATGGATTCTCTAATATTCTTGAAAAATTCCGTGTAATGGAATAAATTGTGACTAAGAAAAAAAAAGTTCATTATTAATAACAAAACGCTTCTCATTCAACATAGTATATTACAACGAAAACCATTTTTTAAAATACCTCATGAGTAATACTGTAGCAAGCATTTCATGAGTATTAAGTAAATGATGAACATAAGCTCGAGTATGATTTTTGCATGAATAACACTGACATCCGGCCAATAAAGGCCGAACATCATTACGATAGTTTACATCCCACAAACTTATAATTTGTTGTCGATTAAAAGAATCTATATCATCCTTTATATCCAGTGAAAATACAAAAGCATTTCCTGCATTGGTCATTTCGAGTGCATAACTTGTGTCAAATAAATCAATTCCTTCAGACACACCTAATAAAATATCCTCTAAATTGAACGTCGAAATAAATATGCATTAAAATTGAGTTGAACAATCCACGTATCTGATTTACATGAAAGGAACGAAACGATATTACACACCTGGTGTTCCTAATCCATATGCCAAACGAGGTTTGTTGGATGGTAGATGATTGATTGATGATTTTAATATATCTATACACTCTCTAGATGTGCTTCCTAAACATTTTCCGTTTAGAACGAATCCTACCAAATTTAATAAGTTAATTTAATCAAGCGTTGAGAGTTGCTAATTTCTATAGAAAAATTCGCACCAGCGACATTCCTCTTCGCTGTCTCTTGAGCCGATCTGATTCGTTCTTCTTGATTTTTGTGTCCGGTTAACACTCCAAATACTTGAGTACTTTCCTATTTAATGAAAATCCGAATAAGGATCAATTTTTTTAAAAAAAAGTAACGGTAAAGTATATTTGAAATAAATACCTTTATGTGATTGATCGCATCATCAAGCCATCTTAATGTTCTATCAACAGATCTCTTTACTCGCTTCACACTTGGTGCTTCATCTGTAATATTATCAGCTAAACTAGCGAAAATATCGGGCTTATATATATTCATATATTTAATATATGAGTCGGATGTAACCTATTAAACATAAAGTGACAATTCAAAAGTTAAAGAGAAAAGAAAAAAAGAAACTTTTACAATGCGATAAAAGGTTAAATGTTTAATTACTTACTTGACGCACTCCATGAACCGTATATACAGAAACATGCTTGTCCGTGTTATTAGATTTAGGTTTTAGGTTTCCGGGATCATGAACATCAATAAATACAATATATTCTTCGAAATTTAAAAACTTATGTATTCCATATGGAAATTGCGTGGAGGGTGGTGGTTGTACATCTATACTTTATAACAAGTCAACAAAAAATTTAGACATTCAAGGCGGAATTGTATAATAAAAAACTTACAAATGTTCTAACGTAACGATTATGGCTCCATTTAAAGGAATACTTGACAAATTATCTGGTGTCAAGTGTGGAACACAACCACGACTTGTATAAGCCAAACAATTTGGTGTATCTAATACTTTTTGTTCATGATTTTTTATTAAAGTCAGCCTCCCTAACCGTAAAGACTTTTCTGAAGTTTTTATTAAATTGAACGATAGTGACATTTTTTTTGTCAATTGTTTTTATACGGATATCAAGTATAAAAAATCAATTGTGATCATTCAATTGGTCAATTCAGACATTACATGTTCAGAATCTCGGAAAACTTGTTTTCATTAGCAACCTGTTACCAGAACTTTCTTTTTTTACGAGATTGGTGGTATTTATTATTCTAACTCAAACTCGAGATTCTAGTATATATGCATTCCGATAAGATTGGCTTAGTTGCTCCAGGAGCATGCATAAATATAAACAAAAAAAGTGGTAATAATTGTTGTTTTTATAGATTAAGTCAAATGACTCATCACTGATTTGGAGTATCAAAATTTATTGTATGCATTGCAAACTGTCGCAACATATTGGGGTTGGGGCAGTTCGGTTCGGTTAGGTTTCAGTTCTGTGAACCCGGTTCTAACAGTAGAATTGAACCGAACCAGGTTCTTTGAACCGGTTCTGATAACCGATTTGAACTATTCGGTTCAATTGACGTAATTGTATTACGAACAGGGACTTTAGGAAAGTTTCATTTAAGAAGGTATGTAAAATTGAATTTCCAAAATAGCAAATAAACCAAGTTATGTTTGATATTATTTGAATCAGAGACCAACCAACTACATATAGCCCTATAAAATTTTCGCCATTATTTCTCCGCGGCTTACATAAAATTTCCGTGAAAATGAGCATTTCACGGAATTCATATAAATGATATGAAAATTTCTGTGATTTAAGATTATAAATTCCATGAAAATGAGCCCCTCATGGAAAACAAAACACAGATCAACTTTTTTTTTATAGAGTAGATACAATCAAATACTATTCTCCTATTTAATATCTCAACTCTTCAAATAAAGACATGCTCTTGCCACTTCTGATAACAAACGATTACATGTTTTAGTAATCATATTTTCCACAACTGAGAATGCTTATTCTGATGCGACACTAGTGGCTTGGATTGGAAGATAATCCTGTGTAATCTTACTTAAAATTGTGTATTCCTTAACATGCACTTGCCACCATAAAAGAGATTTCATCTTCTCATCAGTAGGAAACGCAAGATAACAATTTAATTCTGATAATGTTGTTAAGATTGTGATATGAAGGAATTTTCATTGTTTGGTCATCAAAGTTGAAATAGTTGATACAGATGAAAATGGTATTACTGTATTTGGAAATTGTTCTTATATATATTGAATATAACTTGAATATAAATAAGCATATTTTTTTCTTTGGTGATTTAGGAAAACTAAAAGTTTATTTTGAGGATCTAAAATAGCTAAGACCGTTGGTAATCTATCCACTATACTCTAATATTTTCCAAATTTATAGAAGATTAAGGCTGCAATTTCTATTTGTGTAAAATCATTATTTTTCATAAAATTTCTAAATTCCTTCAAAAATAAATTGAACATCACCTAAAGTTGGATAAGACAAAGCTGATAAATACTTAGTGGCTTTTTTCAATAGTTTAAGAAATAGACAAGTATTCTATTTATATTATTGAAAAATTTTCAAGAATTAATATAATACTTAAAAAAGTTATTATCCAAAACTAATTACTATAATTATAATCCAATCATCTTCATTCAGATAAAATTCTTTAATAGATTGATAATTAGCAGCAAGTAAGCTCAAAGTTAAATTGACATATTTCAACTGATTTAATATATAATAAGTCAAATTATAATTTTTAAATTGTATAAAAGATAAAGATTGCCACAAAGACAAGTTAAATTTTTTATTTTAATCATTAATTCTCATACTTTTATAGTTGATCAATCAATTAATTCTATTTTATATTTTACACTTAAATTAAAACATGAACAATACTTCAATAATATGAGAATATCATGATGGAAAATGCTAAATCAAGGCTTAATGTAATTTTTCTTTTATATACTATTATTATAGATTTGTTATTTGTTATAAGTGTAAAAAATTTGTTTAGGATTCTAAATTTTTTTAAAACATTTGTAATTATTTGTATAATATTAATTTCAAAGTGATTTATGAAAAAAGGAATAATATTAAGAAGAAAGTTGCAGAAATATCAATCTAAATCTATGTAATAAATAATAAGTTTTAAAAAGTTCTTAATTTATTAAGGTTTACATATTAGCAGTTAAAAAACATCTTTTTAGAACTTGATTAAAATGATTATTAATTTTAATTTATTAGAAAGTAAAAGTCTCAACTACTAAGTTTTTTTACTTAATATCTTTTGAGAATGATATATTGTAGACAAAAAATTTGATCATTATCTAAAAATATAAATTATCAATAATTGTAAATAGTTAAAGATCACAAATTATCTATTAGATAATATATTTACTATATTTTTTTTGCTCTTTATTGCTAAGAGAACCTATCTTTTTTATGATTAAAGTTTATTGTCTTATAAGAGCATTTAGCTAATATTTTTTAAGATATTTCTTAATAAATAAATAATTGATTCAATTAGAACTTTTTATGACATTTTTTACAAATATTAAATTCTAATCTAAATGGATTTTTGCTAATATATTTTCATATAGAACTAGAACTAGTAGTAGAAGAACTATTATTATTATTAGGGTTCATATCCTTTCACTTATTTTTAGTAAAATCATCAAGTTTGTTAAAATATTCATTATCAAAGTCTTCCTGGTTATTAATATAGTCATCCATAATATAAATTGAAATATATTTTTTTACTAATTATTGATTTTTTTTATTTTATTAGCTAATATTTTTTTGTATCTATGGATAATCAATATTTATATTGGTGTAGATGTTAGAAAAGCTAGAAAAATTCATTTTTTTTCTAGAATAGATGAAATTTGCTAATTTTACAATAAATTTTAAAGTAAAAGGATTTTATTATTATACTGATTATTTTATATTATTATTTGAAAGTATTATTTAAAAGAATTATAAGAGAAGAGATAATATTTTTTGCAAATAAGATTTTTATTAATCATATATTTATATTATTTTTTTTTAAAAAAAATAAAAGCTATATTTATAATAAATTAAAATTTAGTATAAAAATTTATAAGCCATTAATTAGTACAAAATAATCTAATATTTTATTATTTTACACTACGCTTATACAAAAATGTATGCTGCATTACATTTATAAATTAAAATTTAATAATTAACTATTATATTATGAATATTATTTTACATTTAAAACTACTAATTTTATGTTTATATAAAAATGTATAAATATAAAATCAGTATAAAAAACTGATTCTATCTAATCTAAATATATTGAATTAACATTTAAGTTAAAAAGATTTTTATATGAAAGATTTTTTTTGATATTCAAAAAAGTTTATATTATAGTAAAGCTAAAATCATCATTATTATGAATTAAATTAGTTAGATTTTTTTAAAAATTCAAGTAATTCATATTTTTATTAGATAGAGATTTATACTGTAAAGAATCAGAGAAATATTTTGTAAAATAGTTATGAAATGTAATAAATAATATTTATATTTTAAAATTTTTTTCATATACTTTCTAAATAATTATATTTTAATAATAATAAATTATTAGTAGTTAGCAATAGTATTAAATCAACTAAAAGTATTGACATTTTTTATTACTTCATGTGATTGATAACATTTAAGAGAAGATGAAACAAATATTTTTTAGCAAAAAAATTATATTCCTAGAATACATAGTAAAAATGAAACAGAATAACATGATATAGGATAACAAATAGCATATATAATATAAACATATAAAACATATAATACTGGTGATAATACATAGTAAATTTTTAATTATTATATAAAATAGTATTATTAAAAAAATATTTAATTCACAAATTATGGTAAAATATTTGATTAGAATTTAAAGTATAGGAATATAGTTTTAAGATTAGACTATTTTTCTCATGCAAGTTTTATTTTTATATATGAAAGGCAGTCAGTAGAAAAGGAGGAAATCCAAAATTTTTGTTAATTCTTATTATTAAGCTAAATTTATGCATATGACCGAAATCAGCCAAATGGTCTAATAATATAAATTTTGACCAAAATTTGAATTTCTCCTTTTCTACTGATCACCTTCTATATATAGGTATAATTCAGTGAAATAAAACTGATTTTGTATTTATATTTTCTTTTTTTAATACAAATTACAATCAGATAAATCTGTAATTTTATATTTTATTTATTATTTATTATATTTTTTTAATAAATTATTATAACTACTAAATTAATTGGAATTAAAAAACTGAATTTTATTTAGCTTTTATAAAGGCAAAAATATTATCAAATTGTTTACTAATATTTTAATTAACAAAAAAGATAAAAATAATATTATTGTATTTAAATAAAAATTTAAATGAATTTTTAGTTTTTTTTTATCTCTTTTATTTCTACTTCTATTTCTATTTTACTTTTACCTTTATATTTATATCTGCTTTTACTTTTTTTACTTTTTAAATAAAAATAATTAAAATCAATTAAAAATTTGATCTAAAAGTTAAAGGATTAGATATTAGTTTTGTAATTTCTTTAAATATTAAAAATAACATAGAAAGGTTATAAAATAAAATTAAAAAATAAAAATATAATATTAATAAATATTCTATAAGTAATTGTTTTAAGATAAATAATAATAAAAATAGTTTTATATATTAATTAATCAATAATGAATTATACATATTAAATTTAATTATAAAAAACTTTTTTGGTAAGAAAAAATTTTTTTAGATAAAAGAAATTAATTATTTGAAAACTTAATACTGAACTTAATTATATTATAAATAATTTTAAATATATAATTATGAATTTATTTTCAATTGAAAATTCATAATATATATATATATATATAAAGTTATATAATAATACATGGATATAATAATTATATAATATTAACTATAGATGAAAAGTGTTATCATATGGGAGCTTTGCTATTAAAAATGGATTCCGGGGACTTTTAACAAAAAATGAGATTTTTGATTCATATTATAGTA